CGGACAACAGGGTGGGTCAGCAACAGTCAGCAAGTGAGTAGTAGCACGGGAGTTTATCGAAGCAGGCTCGAACTCAAGCAAGGCTAGGCCTCAGGATCCACCAGCCACAAGCTCAAGAGATGTACACACCAGCAGCGTGATAAAACAGGTCTCGGAGGAGCCTCAAGCTCTAGCGACATGGTTCACAGGTTGGCTTGGCCCACAGGTAGTGTAGCACAGGCTGAGGGAGAGAACTAGCTAAAGCAGCAGCATGCTGGTCTGATCATGAGAGAGCAAGAGAGAGGGGGGCAGGCCTTGCAGAGCCATTTATCTCTTTGCCCTCCAATCAAACTGTGTCCTGATTAATCTTTGCACACATGTTCCTATTGGCCAGGTTGGCACAATAAACCTATCAGAGAGGGAATCTGACAATATTCTGCTTTGATTCATAGAAGTATCATTGGTGAATTTTTGGAAGCAGGTCGTCAGGCCAATCCTCCTAGTCTGTTGTAGTCTGGAAGCTCTGCTGAAAATGGTCATGTGTGCCCATGCCAGTGTTTGAAATACTGCTGGCATAGTATGTTAGTCTGGGTTGACTAGAGAAACAAATCCAGAGGCACACATGTTTGTATAAGAGCTTTCTATAAAGAGTAATTGTATATTAAAAAAAAATCCCCGTCCAGTCCAGAATAAGTCCATAAATCTGATAGTAGCCAGTATGTCTGATACCAGTCTGTAAATTCCTCTTCAAATTCACGCAATACAAGCAATGATGCAGAATGCAGGAAGATCCCAGGCCAGTGGGTGGAACGTCTCATGGATCCAGTGGTGGTGGAAGCATCTCAGAGCTGATGTGGGTCTCCAGGTGACTCCTCCAGCTCCAGGACTCTGGCTCTATCAGTGTAGCTCCATATGGCTTGTCAACAAGAATGTGTACCAGAGTGTGTCTGGCCTCCAGTGAGCTATTTATCTCCTTTGCGCCTCCAAATGAGGTCAGCAAGCTGCAACCTGACTGACAGGCTAGACTCTGCCCCTTCGTGAGTTGACAGGAGATTATGTAAGTGCCACACATAGTGTCCAGCATCATAGCAACATGCAAGCCCCATAACAAAACAAACCAACAGAGGGTGGGGGCAAGGATGTCTGCTAGGTTTTAATTTTAATTAAAACAATTTTTAACAGTTTTAGTGACAAAATTCACATATCATACAATTCGATGGTTTAAACATATTCAAAAGAGTTGTGCAATCACCACAATGAATTGTAGAAAGTTTTCTTCATTGTTGTACTAATTATTTTAGTTCTAAACCCTCAGTTCTCTCCTCGCTCCATGTGCGTATTTGGATACGTTTCCTCTTTCCAATTCATAACATTCAGGAATCTGTGACAAACAGAGGTGCTGGGTGGCTTCTTTCTTTAATAATAATAATAATAAGATTATAAATAAATAGGCCTGGTTTCCCAAGAAAGCTTTTTCCCTGTTGGGTAGAGATGTTTGGGAGAAGGCTGATGAAACTAAGTGTGGGAAGAAATGTGACTAAATGAGGGTGAACATTGAAAGGTATGGAATCATAAAACTAACCCAGTGGTTCCCAACCTTCCTCATGCCGCCACCCTTTCATATAGTTCCTCATGTGGTGGCGACCCCCAACCATAACATTATTTTCGTTGCTACTTCATCACTGTAATTTTCCTACTGTTATGAATTGAGCGACCCCTGTGATAAGGTCATTCAACCCCCAGAGGAGTCGTGACCCACAGGTTGAGAACCACTGCTCTAAGCTCACTAAGGGTTGGGCTGCTAATCACAAGGTCCGTGGTTCAAGCCCACTAGCCACTTTGCTGGAGAAAGATGAGGCAGGCTGGCTACTTCCGTTAAGATGAACCAGAGCAAAACCAAACTCACTGCCTGCCTTCCAGTGGCTTCCAGCTGCTAGCAACCCTGGAGGGCAGAGCAGAATTGCTCCTTCGGGTTCCAGCGGCTGTCAGCTGTCAGTCTTTACGGGAGCAGAAAATGTCCTCTTTGTCCCTCTTAGGGCCTGCTGGATGCCACATGCTGACCTAGCAGTTAGCAGCCCGACAGCGATCCACTAGTCTCCATGACTACAAAGATTTTAGAGCCCAACCTCGGAAATTCTGGAAATTCTCAGAAGATCGCTGTAATCTCAATAGCTGTGTGTGTGTGTGTGTGTGTGTGTGTTAGCACTGAAAACTGAGACCATCTTACATTAAGCAAGTTGACCAGCTGGTAATTTAAAAATCGTCAGCTAATAATTTAAAGCCAGTTGACATTAAGTGTGTAATGGAGACTCCAGGTGTTTCTGAGAACTGTGCTACACAGAGTTTTCATTGGCTCCCACAGAGTCTCTGGTGCGCTTGAACTGCGGGGATCTTGCCCTTAGCAGACCAACGCTTAATCTGCTGCGCCGCCAAGGTTCCTTATCGGTAATGGTTGGGGCCCCTCAAATGGTTACACCCTCAACTAGCCATAAGGATATATACATTAAAGTCAAGGGCACAAGTCCCTTGACCCGGTTCTGGTATTAATACCTAGGCAAATGCTTTCTTAGGAGCCCTGGTGGCGTAGTGGTTTCAAGTTGGGCTGCGATTTGCTTAGTTCGAAACCAGCATCAGCTCAAGAGATAGACGGCTCCAGTTCGACTTTTTGGAAACCCACAGGGGGTCAGTATGAGTCAGCATTGTTGCCTCTTTTCTTCCTTTGAGGTGGGCAATTTTATAATGTGCCTTTTCCCCCCAACCGTAAACAAACAAAAGTTCTAAACACCATAACCGCCCAACCATGTGGATGGCAAGCGCCCCCTTTGCTTCCGGGAGCCTCCCTCCATTCCAAGTTACCCCAAGGATGGAGCCAGGTACCTGCTTTGCCCTGCTTCTGCCACCGGCTTCTGGCCAGATCCGAAGCTCGCGCCCCGCCTTTCCCCGGGCCCCCCACTCAAGTGTTTGTGCAGTGAGCGTGAACGCCCGGTGTGCAAGTCACAGATGCCTCGGCAGGCGCTTGCTGCTACTGCTGCCACGACAGGGGGAAGTGAAAATGAAATCGACTTTTCCGAGAAATGATGAAAGCGGCGCTGCCTGCCAATGAACTGCGGCGGCGAACTTCCGCACCTCTGGCCGGGCCGCGCGGCCTCTCTCCGCCTCCACCTCCCGGTTGC